TGTCTAGTGCTGGATTTGAAAGGGAATGCTTCCAGTTTTTGTCTATTCAGTGTGATTGGCTGTTGGTTTGTCATAAATAGCTTTTATTACTTTGAAATATGTTCCATCAATACCGAGTTTATTGAGGGTTTTCAGCATAAAAGGCTGTTGAATTTTGTCAAATGCCTTCTCTGCATCAATTGAGAAAATCATGTGGTTTTTGTTTTTGGTTCTGTTTATGTGATGAATTACGTTTATAGACTTCCATATGTTGAACCAGCCTTGCATCCCCGGGATGAATCCTACTTGATCATGATGGATAAGTTTTTTGAGGTGCTGTTGCAGTCGGTTTGCCAGTATTTTATTGAAGATTTTTGCATCTATGTTCATCATGGATATTGGCCTGAAGTTTTATTTTCTTGTTGAATCTCTGCCGGGTTTTGGTATCAGGATGTTGGTCTCATAAAATGATTTGGGAAGGATTCCCTCTTTTTGGATTATTTGGAATAGTTTCAGAAGGAGTGGTACCAGCTCCTCTTTGTGTGTCTGGTAGAAATAGGCTGTGAAACCATCTGGACCTGGACTTTTTTGTGTGTGGTAGGCTCTTAATTGCTGCCTTGACTTCAGACCTTGTTATTGGTCTATTCATAGTTTCGGCTTCCTCCTGGTTTAGGCTTGGGAGGACACAAGTGTCCAGGAATTTATCCATTTCTTCCAGGTTTACTAGTTTACATGCATAGAGCTGTTTGTAGTATTCTCTGATGATGGTTTGAATTTCTGTGGAATCTGTGGTGATTTCCCCTTTATCTTTTTTATTGCATCTATTTGGTTATTCTCTTTTCTTTTTTATCAATCTGGCTAGTGGTCTATTTTGTTGATCTTTTCAAAAAACCAGCTCTTGGATTTATTGATTTTTTTTGAAGGGTTTTTCGTCTCTCTGTCTCCTTCAGTTCTGCTGTGATCTTAGTTATTTCTTGTCTTCTGCTAGGTTTTGAGGGTTTTTTTGATCTTGCTCCTCTAGCTCTTTCAATTTTGACGATAGGGTGTCAATTTTGGATCTCTTCACTCTTCTCATGTGGGCACTTATTGCTATATAATTTCCTCTAGAGACTGCTTTAAACGTGTCCCGGAGATTCTGGTATGTTGTGTCTTTGTTCTCATTGGTTTCGAAGAACTTCTTTATTTCTGCCTTCATGTCATTGTTTATCCAGTCAACATTCAAGAGCCAGTTGTTCAGTTTCCAGGAAGCTGTGCGGTTCTGAGTTAGTTTCTGAATTCTGAGTTCCAGCTTGATTGCACTATATGGTCCAAGAGACTGTTTGTTATGATTTCAGTTGTTTTGCCTTTGCTGAGGAGTGATTTACTTCCAATTATGTGGTTAATTTTAGAGTAGGTGTGATGTGGTGCTGAGAAGAATGTATATTCTGGATTTGGGGACGAGAGTTCTGTAAATGTCTATCAGGTTTGCTTGTTCCAGGTCTGAGTTCAAGTCCTGGATGTCCTTGTTAATTTTCTGTCTGGTTGCTCTGTCTAATATTGACAGTGGAGTGTTAAAGTCTCCCACTATTATTGTGTGGGAGTCTAAGTCTCTTTGTAAGTCATTAGGAACTTCCTTATATATCTGGGTGCTCCTGTATTGGGTGCATATATATTTAGGATCATTAGCTCTTCTTGTTGTATCGATCCTTTTACCATTATGTAATGTCCTTCTTTGTCTCTTTTGATCTTTGTGGCTTTAAAGTCTATTTTATCAGAGATGAGAATTGCAACTCCTGCTTTTGTTTGCTCTCCATTTGCTTGGTAAATCTTCCTCCATCCCTTTATTTTGAGCCTTTGTGTATCCTTGCATGTGAGATGGGTTTCCTGGATGGATGCAGCACACTGATGGGTTTTGGCTTTTTATCCAGTTCGTCAGTCTGTGTCTTTTGATTGGTGCATTTAGTCCATTTACATTTAGGGTTAATATTGTTATGTGTGAATTTGATACTGCCATTTTGATGCTAGCTGGCTGTTTTGCCTGTTAGTTGATGCAGATTCTTCATTTTGTTGATGCTCTTTAGCATTTGGTATGTTTTTGGAATGGCTGGTACTGATTGTTCCTTTCTATGTGTAGTGCCTCTTTCAGGAGCTCTTGTAAAGCAGGCCTGGTGGTGACAAAATCTCTGAGTACTTGCTTGTTTGCAAAGGATTTTATTTTTCCTTCACTTCTGAAGCTCAGTTTGGCTGGATATGAAATTCTGGGTTGAAAGTTCTTTTCTTTAAGGATGTTGAATATTGGCCCCACTCTCTTCTCGTTTGTGGCGTTTCTGCCGAGAGATCTGCTGTGAGTCTGATGGGCTTCCCTTTGTGGGTGACCCGACCTTTCTCTCTGGCTGCCCTCAGTATTTTCTCCTTCTCTTCAACCCTGGTGAATCTGACGATTATGTGCCTTGGGGTTGCTCTTCTTGCAGAATATCTTTGTGGTGTTCTCTGTATTTCCTGCACGTGACTATTGGCCTGCCTTGCTAGGTTGGGGAAATTTTTCTGGATAATATCCTGAAGAGTATTTTCCAGCTTGGATTCATTCTCTTCATCATACTGAGGTATACCTATCAAACGTAGATTAGGTCTTTTCACATAGTCCCACATTTCTTGGAGACTTTGTTCATTCCTTTTTGCACTTTTTTCTCTAATCTTGCCATCTCGTTTTATTTCATTGAGTTGATCTTCGACCTCTGATATCCTTTCTTCTGCTTGGTCAATTCGGCTGTTGAGATGTGTGCATGCTTCGCAAAGTTCTCGTGTTTTGTTTTTCGGCTCCATCACTTCACTCATATTCCTCTCTATGTTGTCCATTCTTGTTATCATTTCCTCAAATCTTTTTTAAAGGTTCTTAGTTTTTTTGCATTGAGTTAGAACGTGTTCTTTAGCTCACGGAAGTTTCTTATTACCCACCTTCTGAAGTCTGATTCTGTCATTTCATCACACTCATTCTTTGTCCAGCTTTGTTCCCTTGCTCGTGAGGGGTTGTGGTCCCTTGTAGGAGGCGAGGTGTTCCGGTTTCAGGTGTTTTCCTCCTTTTTGTGCTGGTTTCTTCCCATCTTTGTGGATTTATCCACCTGTCGTCTGAGTAGTTGCTGACTTTCCACTTGGGTCTCTGAGTGGACATCCAGATTGTTGATGATGAAGTATTTCTGTTTCTTAGTTTTCCTTCTAACAGTCTAGCCCCTCTGCTGTAGGACTGCTGAGGTCCACTCCAGGCCCTGCTTACCTGGGGAACCCTGTAGCAGCTGCGGAACAGTGATGGTTGCTACCAGTTTCTTCTTCTGCTATCTTTGTCCCAGAATGATGCCTGCCAAATGTCAGTCTGATCAGTCCTTTGTGGAGGTGACTCTTTGGATATACGGGGTCAGGGAGCTGCTTGAGAAGACGGTCTGTACTTTATAGGAGCTCAAGTGCTGAGCTGTGAGCTCCGTTCTTCATTCAGGGCTGCTAGGCAGGTTTAAGTCTGCTGCAGCAGAACTCATAAAGCTCCTTTTTTTCCTCAGGTACTCTGTCCCGGGGAGTTAGGGCTTTATTTATGAGTATCTGTTGCACTGTCCTGCCCAGCAAGGAGGCAGTCTAGTCACTGCCTGCTGCAGAGGCTATGCTGAGCTGCTCTGGGCTCTGCCCTACTGCCATGGGCTCCGCCCTGTTGCCATGGGCTCTGCCCTGCTGCCATGTGTAATTCTCTATAGTCCTGTTTATATGGGTGTGATTAGAACTGCTGTGGCAATGGTGGCCCACCTCTGTAATGGCGGACTCCCTCTGTTATGGCGGGTTGCCTCGGCAACGGCAGGTTGCATCAGTAATGGCAGAGTACCTCTGTATGGGTGGAGTGCCTCAGTAATGGCGGACGCCCCCTCCCGCACCGGGCTGCACCATCCTGGGTTCAGCTGTGCTTGTCGTGAAACTCTCAACTTCGAGCATTTCCAATTGCTGTTTTGTTTGTTTTTGTGGGGGTGGGACCCGCCAAGCCTGATCAACTGGCTCCCTGCCTCAGAGTCCTTTTTTTTAAGTTGAATGGTTGACTCTCTCCCTGGTGTTCCAGTCACCTGCTGAAAGGGCGCCGGGCTCTGTGTGATTTCCCGTGCGGCAACCCACTGCGCTGGCTGAAACAACATCGCTGCCCAGGAATCTCCTGGCCTGTCTTCCTGTTTAAATCCCGTTTAATCAGATGAATGTGCTAATCTGCCTTCCCAAATCTCAAATTGCCAGTTTAACAGGGCAACCATACCAGTATATTTTATACGGAAAGCCGCTGCGCTGCGGCGCCGGCCGAAACGGCCACACCAGCCAAACAGCCACACTGGCGGCCTGTGGGACTCCTACACCTGGGAATCTCCTGGCCTGTGGGCAATAAAGATCCGTCTGGAAATGTGGCGTCCAGTCACCCTTTGCACTTTCACTGGGAGCTGCAATCCTGGGTTGCTCCTATAGTGCCATCTTCTCCTCTCCTCTGGTAGTGAATTTATACTCACTGAAGAACAGCATGAGGAAAGGCATGTATCTGGAAACAAGGGAGCATAGAATGTAAGGAACAATAAAAGGACTAAATTATTACATGTTTGTTCTTTTAAGTTGTCAAGTCTCTACGTCAGTTCTTTTTTTTTTTTAATGATCAGATAGAAAAGGAAAATAGAAGTTTGGAAACCTAATGCACTTGTGCTTTTTTAAGAATTTCAGACTGGGTGCAGTGGTTCACACCTGTAATCCCAGCACTTTGAGAGGCTACGGTGCCCCTTGAGCCTGAGAGGTCAAGGCTGCAGTGAGCCATGATGGCACCACTGCATTCCAGCCTGGGTGACAGAGTGAGATCTTGTCTCAAAAAATAATATTAATCATTTCAGTGTTTTAGTACTAATTATACTGCAGTTATATTTGTTGAAAAATTCTCCTTTCAGAAAATGTCTGCATCATAAAGTCAATAGATATTTTAATACCATGACACCGAGTGTTAGCTCTAATAATTAGCTTTTAAGTACAACTTCCTTATTTCATAGGGCTTTTACCAAGATGGCCTCAGCTCCTGCCAGCTATGGCAGCACTACCACTAAATCAATGGGGTAAGTATTTTTAATAATTCTGTTGTATCTTTGTACTCAAAACCTTACTTAGACTTTCATACCATAAAAACACGGTGTCTAACACTCTGAATGTGGAAAATGTCACTATGCCTTTGGTGACATTTAGATGGCTTAAGTTCTTCATTTTTCTATTTTTTAAATTATTCTTCATTGACATGTAATAATTCTATATATTTATGGGGTACAGTGTGATAATACACACCATGTATAATTAGCCAATCCGTAATTAGCATATCAATCACCTCACACATTTATCATTTTTAGTGTTGGGCACATTCAGATTCTCACTTTAAAATGTAAATTAATATCTTTTTACATGGTATGAGCTGAAACTTAGATGACATTTTTTACAGTATGATCCCTATTTATCCATTTATCCATCTGTGTGTATCTGTGTGGATGAGTATATGCATACGTACATTTAAATGCATAGCTGAAATGACATACAACTAAATGTTAATAGTGGGTAATTTCAAGGGGTGAAGTTGTTTTTCTTTTGGGTGCTTTTATTTTCCAGATGTTCTACAGATATTTTCTTCTAAATGGTTTTTGTTTAAATGCCTGTTTGTTATTATAACATACATTTTTCATTTTCAGAAAACATTAGAAGGTTAAAACTATTTTAATATCAATGTTGATAACTAATATAGACTTGAAGCTAGGCCTAACTTCAGGATAGATTCAAGGAGTGCTAAATTATAGGAAGTCTTCAGACTGGGTATGACATCTTACTCCAGAGACCCCAATGGAGTATGTGTGATTTTCAAAGAATCTGAACAAGGTAATTCTGACTATTCTTTTGGTACCATACAAGTTTCCAATTCCTAGCTTATTTTTTAGAGCTAAAACAAAAGCACAAAGCCAGAGGAAAACCTGTTTATCCTAGCCTCACACTGAGCAACTGGTTTTAATGAAACAATTTCCAAAAACAAAAGCACTCCGCCTTAGAAATACTTGGCAAAGGAATCCAGCTGGCCTCACCTTCAGACAGTGCTGCACAGGTTAGCACATCCCTGCACAGTTGCCTGGTGCCAGAAATCACCCCAGGGCCATTCATTCCAACAAGGATTACTTTCTCTTGCTTCTGTTAATGAAAAGATTTCCATCCTGTCCATCTCTTCATTTTAGAGGGGAGTAAGGACAAGATGAGGAAAAGGAAAATATTTTTGGAAAATTACTTTCATGTATTTAATAAAATAGACTTTTCAGTTTCATCCCTTAAAAATCATATTGAACATTAAAGCCTATTAGATTTCTTTTGGTTTTGCAGTTGGGATTTTGATAAATGTGTTATAAAAGAAAATCTTGGGTGATTTAAAAGCTGCCCCTAGACTTCTGGGATTTTAATGCAGGATTACTATTCTGTCCCACAAAACATCCTCTAATTCCATATGGGAGACTGTTTGAATCACAGATACAAACCCAGTATGGCAAGTTACTTATTGGTGTTTTGTTGTTGTTGTTGTTGTTTAAAATTTAAACAAAATTCTTCAGAATTGAGGTAAAATTCACTAAGTCTGTTGTGTTTCACATTTTTATATGATAGATTATATGTATAGAGAGGGGAGACAATATACAATGTAGGATTGGATCCAGCTGCTAATATAAGAGAACACAATGATGTTTGACCTACTCATATTATTTATTGGCATATATATTTTTAATAAGTTGATGTGGGTTGAACTCCTAAAGCAAGTTGTCCAAGTTACTATCTTTAAATTGTTTTTTTTTTAGCATTAGACAATCAAGAAGTCAAGGAATTCTCTTCAAATTATAACTTGCAAAAAGAAAACTATAGCTAAGACTAGGAAATTAAGATGTTTATTTTGAGGGCAGCTTTTTATTTTTATATTTTTAAGCATTATTGACTAATCAGAGTATTTTATTACTATTTTATTGTTAAATAAAATTGCAGCAGTGGTACCCATGGCAGCAGAAATTCTCAAGACCCTTCTGTTTAGTGAAAACAAAGGTGGTAGGTACAGCGAGCATCAGCATGTGGTGTGTAATCAGGCAAATATTTTATCTGTAACAAACTGGAGAGGCAGTTTGTACTTAGTATGGTCCTTCTCTTTTGCCCCCATCTAGTCTCTTATCACGAGTCATGAATACAGGATCACAGTTTGTGATGGAAGGAGTGAAGAACCTGGTTTTGAAACAGCAAGTAAGTATATTTATTAGAAGACATACTCTTAACTTTTAAACATAAATGCTGGCAGGCTAACTCCTCAGGTAAAGCAACTTCTGAATTTATTCAAATAATAAATAGGAATCAAATGAAATCAAGGAGTCCTTATTTTTTTAAGTTCTGGGTACATGTGCAGGTTGTACAAGTTTGTTAACATAGGTAAGCATGTACCAGGGTGGTTTACTGCACAGATTAACCCATCACCTAGATATGAAGCCCAGCATGCATTAGCTATCTTCCCTAATGCTCTCCCTGCCCCACCTTCCCCTCTACCCCACAGGCATTGGTGTGTGTTGTTCCGTTCCCTGTTTTTTTGAGCTCCCATGCAGTATTTGGTTTCTGTTCCTGCGTTAGAAATCAAGGAGTTCTTTATTAGTATATTTAAGACTCTGAAGGTATTTTTATTTGTGTCTCAGAGCTCTGTAATTTTATACTTTTTTAAAAAATTTGTTCATTTGGATTTGGACTTTACTTACATTTTGATTTTTCTTTACCACCAGGTTGTTGAAAGTAACCTAACTAGAATAGTGAACTGCTACATAATGACTAACATTTCTTTTAACATATAGTCAGAGAATATTAATAAGCTAATGAATTTAATAGTCTAAAGTCCTATGTAAATTGGACTAAACTATACATATATATATATATATATATATATTTTTTTTTTTTTTTTTTTTTTTTTTTTTGAGACAGAGTCTTGCTCTGTTGCCAGGTGCCAGGGTGGAGTACAGTGGCACAATCTTGGCTCACTGCAACCTCCGCCTCCCGGTTCAAGCAATTCTTCTGCCTCAGCCTCCTGAGTAGCTGGGACTGTAGTCATGCACCACCACACCCAGCTGAGTTTTGTATTTTTTTAGTAGAGGCGGGATTTCACCATGTTGGCCAGGATGGTCTTGATCTCTTGACCTCGTGATCTGCCCGTCTTAGCCTCCCAAAGTGCTGGGATTACAGGCATGAGCCACTGCGCCCAGCACAAAATATTTTAAATAGAATTTATATTTGGGGATAATAAAAAAATTGTACCTTGATTTCACATTTTCTTTCTTTTAGTCCTTTGTTTTATATATAGGAGACTTTTAAATGACTTTTGTTTCTGTGATTTTTCTATTCTAATATATACATATTCTGCTTCAGTCATTATTAATTCATTAGCTATCTTTTCAAAAGATTTGTCTTTACTTTTAATTTTGGAAATTTTCAAATACACATTATCAAACTCTCCTGAATCCTTCAATAACGTCAATATCCATTCTTGTTTCATCTATCCCATTTGTGTTTATTTACTTTTATTGGAATATTTTAAGGGAAATCTGAGAAAGTATTTTAACATAGAAACTCAGTTTGCAATGAGAAGGGTTTTAAAGGCCAAATAAAAAGAATCAGTTATTCAGATCTGAATATTGTTTATTTACCTGTATTCAGAAAAAATAAGATCTTTTCTTTCTTCCACACTTTTTATCTTTCTTATAATGTTTACCTTGGTGTTTTATATACATTATCTTTATTTGTGGTTTAGTAAGTTCATTTTTTCTTTTTTTCTGAGACTGTCTCTCTCTCTTGCCCAGGCTGGAGTGCAGTGGTGCTAGCTGCGACTACAGGCACACACCGCCACTCTTGGCTAATCTTTGTATATTTTGTAGAGATGGGGTTTCTCTATGTCGTTCAGGCTGCTCTTGAACTCCTAGGCTCCAGTGATCCTCCCACCTCAGACTCTCAAAGTGCTGAGATTATGGATATGAGCCATTGTGCCTGGCCTCATTATCCCTTTTAGAAATTATTGTCAGTCCCTCTCATTCTACCTCCTGGTAAGGAGCCACTACCAAATACTTAACCTACTTTTTCTTACTGGTTCACATACTGCCCAGAATCAGCTTATCTTCACCCTCTTAGACTATACGTGAAAAGGCACAGTAGGAAGTTTGGGCACATTCAAGACAAATGAGCTATACTTTACAGTTTAGCCTGGGCCCATTCTTATTTATCATCACCTGTGGACAAAATGATTTTGTTGTTTGAGACAAAGGGGGACCACCAATTTCTAAGGTAATGTCTGCCTGTTGCTAAATAGGCTGGCTATTACCTAACAATATGTAGTTTATTTTTAAGGAGAATTATTTATTTTTCTTAACACGTCACTGTTAGAAGTAAATTCCAATACTAAGATTCCCTAAACAAAGTATTCCTTATCGTATATAACTCATAGTATTTAGAAATTACAGGCTTTAACCTTTAGAATAATCATGATTTTTGTTTTTGAACTTATTACCTTAGAGTCACATGGTATATATCCCCTATGATACCTACAAAAGACATCTAAAATGGTCAATTCTTAAATATTTTATTGTGCTAACACAAGTTTATTTTATTTGGAGTGCATAAAATGTAAAATAATTCTTCATGATCTCATATCTCTTTTTTTTATTGCAAATAACATACCAATTTGACAAAGGCAGTTTCTCACTTAAATTCTCACTAAAATTTGAAATGATCCGTGGTTACCCCATCTGTTTAATATTTTTGCCACCACTACCAGAAGAGCCATGCCATTTGAAAAAAACAAAAAGTTCAGAATTAGAGGAAATAGGTATTGACAGGGGGTAGGAATGATTCATTTTATATTACTGAGTAAAAATAATAGTCATATAATACATAGTTCCATATATTCTTTTTTTGTTGTTGTTGTTCTTTAAAAAGAGAAAAAATATATAGTACTGAAAGACAAACACTCGGGCTTACTTAAGCTTTAAATGTTAGTTTTTCTGGATACATCTTAATCTCTGATTACTTCTGCCCACATGACAAAATGCCAAGATTGAAATCTAGAATCAAGAGTGTGGACATTTCTAATTGTTCTTAAAAATATTACCAAATTATCCTTGAGTAAAGAGTCTCTTACTCTAGAAATATGTAAACTCAAGAGAAATCCATTTTAAAGCTCTATTACCCTTATATTCTAAAATTTAGAGGTACTGTCGTGGAAGGTCTTGGGCAGTTTGGAAACTGAGAAGTAAGAGGTATTAAAGAAGATACTTCTGGAGATCAGTTCTGTTTCACTCTTGGAATATTATGAATAATTTATGCCTCTTAAATTTCTAAATATTGTTTTGGATCTTTTTATCTAAATAAACAGTTTAAACTACAAATAAATTAGAATTAGCCACATCGAGTTTTCTAGGTCACTTAGAAGAGCTTTTTTTATACCTTGTTTTATGGGCAGCATAAGTTTTGTGCATCACAAGTATCAACTATCACATAAAACCAGTTGAATGTTATTCACAGATTTGGAATCTATTTGTATAAGGATCATTGTACAAGAATGTGAAGATGAAAAATGTAGCACAAAGTTGCATAATTTTAGACTTCTGTTTCACTTTCTTTGGCCTGTGGTGAATATAATCCCTCCTTTAAAAATAAATTAACAACACATAAATTACAAGCAGCGAAAATCCATAGATAAAATAAGACTTCAAAGACACAATTGCAGTGTTTGGCCCTTAAGATTATGATTTGAACAAGAAAACTATAAAACACAACTTTTTATGCCAGGCGCAGTGGCTCATGCCTGTAATCTCATTTGGGAGGCCAAGGCAGGTAGATCGCTGGAACCTAAGCATTCAAGACCAGCCTGGGAAACATGGCAAAAGCCCATCTTTAAAAAAAAATACAGAAAAATTAGCTGGGCATAGTGGCACATGCTTGTGATGCTGAGGTGGGAAGATCACTTGAGCCTGGGAGATGGATGATAATTTTATACAACAGTGACTGGATATCAAGTTGTGTAGTAGTTATTTCCTAACAAATACATGTATCAAAACATCATGTTGTATACCTAAAATATATACAATTTATTTGTTAGTCATACCTCAATAAATCTGCAGAGAATAAATTACTGTTATTTAATATCATAAATTATGAATTAATAATTATTTTAATTATTAAATTGTTAATTATTTTAGGTGTGGTAATAGTGTTATGGGGTTTTAAGAGTTTTTGTATTTTGGATATATGTACTGAAATATTTATGGCTACGATGATTGTATATTGGAGACTTACTTTAAAACAATGTAGGGGAATGGATAGTAGGTGACAGTACAGGTGAAATAAGATTTGCCACAAGTTAATAATTGTGTAAGCTGGGAGATAGAGGGATAGATGTATCTTCCTGAGTTCACATCATCTCGTTTTCTTTATTTTATTGCCATAAACATGAGATGATTTTGTAAACTCATCTGCAAGATAAGGGTATAAGATTCACTCTTTAGATCCCCTTCTGGTTTATAATTTTAAATTTTGGAAAGAAACAGCCCATCTTATTTCCTCTTCTAGCTTCACTTCACTGGCAACTTTCCACCCTTCTATCATTGATACATCTCTCATCTCCAAAGCTTCCAGTGTCCACACATGCTATCTAATTCTTTTCTTGGCTAATAACTGCCTTCAAGAGAAGCATTCCCTTACAGGATGTCCACATTGGGCATTTTCATTCTCCAGGGCTCTGATAATCAAGACAGTAGCAACTCTTGTCGCAACCCCACTGCCAGCCTCGACATTAGAGTATCATCCCAAGCCCAGGGCTGCAAGGGGAATGTTAGAAATAGTGACGATAGATCAGTTGGCAATATAGGTCAGTGTGGGGATCGCTCCTGCGAAGGGCCCCACGTTGGGTGCCAGATGTGGGGGTCTGGCACGTCTGCCGGGGGGGCTTCCAACCAGCGGAGAGCCTCAGCCCCACTCAAGTGTTCTTAACCTGGAAGAGGGAGTGCGCGGAAGAAAAGATAGATAGAGAGCGGGGTCTGGAGGACTGCCAGGCAATGCCAGAGCAAGAAGTGCCAAGACAGCAAGTTTATTTGTGCAAACTACAGGTTATATACCTTTCAGTGTTTGAGGAGTGACGTACATTCCATTGTATCTTGAAATAAAATCAAGAACAAAAATCACAAGAAAAGGGGTACAGAAAGTATGACTCTTAATCA